ATACATAGCAAATGGAGGCATAATCAGTGTTTGTTACCATTTTAACTTTTTAAGCTTACCAAATATGCATCTAAAAGGAGGGGCTTCTAGAAAAATAAAATAAAATAAAATTACCATTCTAAAACCTCACATAAACCACAAAAAGATCGAGTTTGCAGAAGATCCGATCTCAGATCGATCCAAGAAAACATGAGGAGGGCTATTGGTATCGCCGCCTTATACCGCGCCGCGGGTGGCGTCTCCTCCATGCCGGAGGTCGCTGGAAATCACACTCACAACAACCTTCCCCGGATCTTCCATACGGCTCAATTTAGCACCAAAAGCCTAAACTTCTCGTCGAGGACACTTAGTTTATTGTCTAACAAGCTCGCCGACCAGTCAGCTGGCGCGCTGGCTCGCGCAATTGCAGGGACCATGTTATTCTCATTTGCGGCTACGACCCTGGCGGAAGAGGTCCATGCTAAGGAACCCGTGCTTGCGAAATTCCGTCCTGCCGAGGTTGTTCTCTATCAATATGAAGCTTGCCCATTCTGTAACAAGGTTAAAGGTAGATTTTTTTTAGTTTATTGCTATTCATTTTTCGCTAAAAAATGCACATTGAAGTAATTTTTTTTTTTTAAATTACCTGGATTTTGGATTATAGTGCGTCAGAATTCTAAAGGATGTTTGTTTTTATGAAGACTACTATTGTACTTTTAAAAAATGATTTATTTTCAATTTGTTCGTTTTCAATTGGCATAACATTGTAGCGAGAAATTTGTTTTCACGAAGGAATTTCACCTGGAATGGTATTGAGATTGTGAGGCTTTAGTTTTTTTAATTCTTCTTAGAAATTTTTTAGGGCATAGTTTAGAAGTTTACAATCTAATAGCTGGTGATCTTGATTAAACTACCCAATACCCAATCACTGCCATAGCTATGGAATTTCATTTGTAACCTTCACTGCTAGTGTTTAATTTACCTTCTATTTTTAATCCTTAATGTACTGAAAAGAAACTTTTCTTTCCCCCCAAAATTAGGATTTTCTACGTAGATAAAAGGGGATTTCAGTATTATGTACTTGTCATGCGAGTCGCGTTAAAAATTAACGGTCAGGTGGATAGAAACCATCTGCTGTTGACCCAAGTGCTACAAGGTCCAGTATGCTACAAATTTAGAAGGTTTATGACTCAGATATGAGAAAAGAAAAGTTTGGGGCCTTTTTGCATATGTTGAGACTCAAACTATAATTTCTCCTCAAGTTTTTTTATTTTTTATTTATTTGTTTATTGTTTTTACTATTCATTTGTGCTTTATCCCGAAATAAATGAAGTTGTGGTCAGAGTGGTTTATCTATGCTCATTGCCAATTAAGAACTCGAAGTTGGGTGCATTAGTATTAATTAGGTGATTTTTTTTTATTTTTTTTTGGCTCGTTAAGCATTGAGCCTCATTTCGAGGAGGGGACGGAAATTCTAAGTGGAAAAGTGTTTTGTCACATATTTAATCTCTGATTCTCTGGCATCATGAAGTTTTGAGTGGATATCGTATATGTTAGATGGTTGTGTATCTCTGTCTACTAGATTTTGATCATGCGTACTGCTGACACTTATTTTTTCAACATTGGTTTTATTACCCCAGCGGTCTTGGATTATTACGATATTCCCTACAAAGTTGTGGAGGTTAACCCCATCAGCAAAAAGGAAATCAAATGGTCTGATTACAAGAAAGTACCTATATTGATGGTTGATGGTGAACAAATGGTGGATTCTTCAGGTCTTCATTAGTTTACAGTTGAACGTCTTTTTACTATTTCCTGAAAGCTCAGAGATGTTGATAAATAGATACTTTTAGAGATAATGATGTCAAGCAAATTATTTAATCTTTTTGGTTTTTAGTTACAACTTAGTGACTTCCTTCATGCACTCTGAATGTAGTTATAATCGATAAATTGACCCAAAAAATACATCCTGGTGTTTCTGCTGATTCTGTCACAGAAGATGATGAAGAGAAGAAGTGGCGTGGGTATGAGTTATTTTGTTCTTGTTATATTATTGTCGAACTTTTTTCTTTTCATTAATTGCAGAGTCACTTGATGTCCATTTTGTTCAGATTGATCTTCGTTAAACATTTGGCTAAACCCCTCTGCTATAATATTACAGTTAGTATTTTTTTGTCATCTCTGTTATCATTAACTGTTCCTCAGTGGACATTGTTATGTTTTGTCATGATGTTATCTTAATGTTCTACAATCTTCCCCACCCTAACTAGCTGTCGAGTTATATTTAATGGAAATAGACAGTATCTTGACATTTCATCTTGTATCCTGTTTTTTGTATTTATTAATTTTAACTTCATGTTTGATCTGCTTCTTCTGCATCTTAAGGGTTCACTCTCCACGATGTACTTATAACTGTGGTGCATGCATCCTTGATTGTAATGTCTACTCATTATTTCAGGTGGGTGGACAACCATTTGGTACACATGTTGTCACCCAATATATATCGGAGTAGTTCTGAGGCCCTTGAGTCATTCGACTATATCACCAGTCATGGTACGTTTTAATGTCATTACGATAGCTTGTAATGCTGCACGCAAGCTCCTCTTACCTATATAATTCAAAATGCAGTGTTAGACTATCGATTACTGCAAGGATGTGAGGGTTGGGTACAGACAGACACACACTGATTCACTTTTCTAGAAGTATATAAAGAAGTAATTCGCGTAAAGAAGAGAAGAAACTCTTTGGTTGTTGCTAGTACCCCATCTACTTGTAAGATAGTAACATACCAGTTTTAGCTCTTTACATGATTAGAGGGATTTTTTTTGGCTATAAAATATTAAACCCCAAAGCGAAGTCGGCTAATTATTTTTTTCTGGTAGCTGCAGTAAAATTTA